TAGCAGACACTATATCCACTGTGATCACTGGAGCATCCCATCACATCCATCAAAAACCGCTGAAAAAAGCACATCTCACACGTCTATTTATTGAGACTTCATCTCCCTTCCTCTCTACGCCGTACGCCCTCGATGTGACATGAGATATCATGACGTCTACAAATCTCGCACCTGAGCAGGTTCATGCCTTGTTTGATATCCTCACGCACCACGAAACATACGCAGAAATACAGAGCTTCAAGTATCCAGATGCAGTCACAGGCTATGGCTATCCTTTCTCAAGAGCAACGGTTGAGCCTCAAACCTCACAAAGCGCACCCCCGAGCACAGGATGGAGGAGCTGGGCTGGAACACCTGTGAGCTCAAGACCAGGAACGCCAAAGCAAGGAGCTGCGAAAGACGTCAAGGAAACTCCTAGCGATGATGACGACAAGAAACCTTCTTCATCACCTATTCTTCATACCATGTTAACGCGGTTCATTCTAAAACTTCCGGGTGTGCGAGATCTACCACGCGAGTTTTGGTCTGTTAGAGTGCAGGGCTTGTTGACGAGACTCGGAGAGGCAGAATTGTCAGAGAGCTATGATAAGGGTGCTTTGGGGACGAGAAAGGTGCTTGCGACTGGGTCGAGTGGACTTCTTGAGATGGTTGGTCGAGGAGTTCTTGGCGGTGTCAAGAAAACAAATCGACACGATAAGTCTTCGGATAAGGAGGTTGAGTATGATCGGGCCAAGGCTGCAGACCTGGCAAAGGCGTGGGATGATGTTGTTGAAGGCTTGGTCTATGGAGGTTTGGCAGATGAGATGTTTGATCATTTCAGCAAAACTTCGGATCTCGAGAGTCACTCTCCAGTCATTGGAGCAGCTGCTGAATATGCCATCATCCAGTGAGTTCCACACGAGATATTCTCTGCCTCCCACTAACAAAACCAAAGCCTCGCTACCTTCATCCACCACATCTTTGTCCTCTCCCCAGAAGGCCAATATCTTCTCAAACTCCTCGAAAATGTCCACAACCTCATCCCCTACAAGATGGTCAAGCAGACTCTACGGATGGGCAATGCCGCTAGTATGATTAGCGCCATGATGCGCCTACTCCTTGCAAAGTTGAGCGTTACGAGCGTCACCAACTGGATCGGCTTGACCGCTAATGCCGACGATGGCATGAACCTCTTGCAGCGTATCATCTCATTAGTGTTGTCGTGGGACGCTGGAGAGTTCCGAAAGAGTGCTGACAAGGTGGAGAGAGCTAAGGATCGACCAAGTGACGAGATGCTTGAAGCTATTCGTCAGTATATCACCATGAGTCGTGATGAGCATAAGACGGTTCGTAATGCCAGCGAGGAACATGCTCAGTCTATCATCACTGCTATTTTTAACGGGTCCAATCCCATGTTAGCAACTCAGCTTGATGATCAGAAGCACGCGCAGTGTCTCGAGTATTATTCTGCTCTTCTCTCCGTGCGCGATCGTGAAAGCATCACAACAGCCTTCTGTCGTCAGCCTCCTGATCTCTTTACCGCCACTATCAAGGATCTATTTGCCGCCTATGAACCCATGATCCGCATGGTACACTCCCAGATAGATTTGCGGGAGCATGTCGAAGCGGGTCAATTGTTCATCGATGAGTTTATCAAGGCTGGCAAGCCGAAGAAGGACGGTAGCATGCCAACTGTGGACGATTACGTTGGTCTCTTCATGAGAAACCGAGAGCTCATGTATAGATGGGTTCATGCCTTTGCGGCATCATGTCCTGATGTTTGGGAAGAGATGAATAAATGGACCAACGATGCCGTACTAAAGTTTCGCCAGGAAAGGAAGCCTGTTCAAAAGACGAGCAATGCCGATGCTGGAGAGCAGGCGAGTAATGGTACTGTTGATGTGAGTGCGATGGACGATCAGCTGAATAAGCTATTTCAGTCGGTTCCTGAGAAGTCCCAAAAGGATGTTCTCATTTCATTGGATAACCACGCCGCATATCTTGCTCAAGTCGAGGCCCTTTCTCTCTGCCGCCTACAGCGGATCATTGACTCAGACGATTCAGAATCAGGCAACATGTCAGGCCCAGGCATTTATCTCTCCCGATGGCAGAGTTTAATCGAAGACACGGCTATAACACCAGAAAAGCCAAAGGGACCTGTCAGGCATGGAAAAGATGTCAAGAATGCACTTACTATGGGCAAAATTGGAGTTGAAGGCACGGAAAAGGGGAGAGAGGAAGCCCTTCAAGCAGCGATCGAAGAAGCTGAGGAGGGACCTGAAGCTCCCGATATAGATGTGGTGATAAAAGAGCTGGCAGATGGGTTCAAAAAGCTGCTACAGGAGAGCGCTGGGAAGCATGTGGAGTAATGCAGGTTGAAGCTGTTCACAAGCGAAGGTCTTATGAATGATAGAAGAAACGAATACACATGAATACAAGGTAAACAGTTGATAGCAAGTTTTACCAAAACTAAGATAGTGCTGTGAAATCATAAACGTGATGATACATCGATGCTGTGATCTTCTGACAAATATTCCCCCTTTCGCGATAGATCCCTGCAGTATCCTCCCGTTTCGCGGTCTGAGAAGTATAGTAGACTCTTGATCTCACACAGACATTGTTGGCTTCAGCCTTCCAAAAACTTGTGGCGCCTTGACAGAATTTCTGTGTCCTTTAACAGCACTCAGATAGTTGCCGTGTGCTTTATCTTGTAAGTATTCTCATAGAACACCTCTTGATTATTTGATGGCATTGAATCAGCGAGTAGAGCGAGATCGTGAAGTGGCATTGGCCGTGGACCTCCCTTGAGGAGCTTCAGTTGAATGGCGTCCCAATGGTCCCGAGTTGTATCGTCGTGGTGAGCGGTCTCTGACTGACTGTGCCCGACGCTTGGGAGAAACACTCCTTGCTCTCGAGCCATTCTTATCGTGTGGTTCACGAAACAGTCTTTTCTGCGCACGAGGAAACGTATGTCGTTGCCGCTGTCGATTGTCACCCTCGAGGAAATCTGCTGGCGCTTCTATAACCGGCGTCGCTGGTAGGGGCTTGCTGACTTTTGCAGCATCGAGAGACTTCTTGGCATTGACTCTGATACTGGCAAACTCGACGATAGCTGATCTGGCACCTTCTGGGCAGTCTTTCATCTGGCCTACTCTATAAGCGAGACCATCCAGATAATCATCGATCTCTTGATTCCATGAAATTGGTGATGTCGATCGAATGTGGGTAAGGTCAATCTTGTCAACCTCTTCTTTGGCACCCTCGTCGTCGGATATGACTTCTATGTCAGAATCGTCAGGCAGGATGTCTCCAAAGTCGTAGTCTTGAGGCTCAAACTCCTGTGCTCCCAAGGGCTCGCCAGGTTTTCGGTTTCGATCTATTGGTCTGAGGATGTACTTCTTCATCACGAGGCGAGGCTTCCATACAAGTCTGATGGTAACTCCAGTGGCATCTTGCAGTTTCTGCACAAGAGACTTGCAAGGTTTGCAGTACTTGCGAGAGAAATACACCTCGAGAACTGGACGCGATCCATCTTCCCAGCGAGCTCGTCGAAGTTGGTTCAGTTGCTTCATCGTGACGTTGTTAAAGTCCTTTGTGATCTCGAAAGTCTGAAGAAGAACACAAATACCATGAACTGCGAGTTTGACTTCAACATGAGACCCGAGAAAGATGCCCTCAGTGTTTCCCACTCTTCGGCCAGGATTGTCAAACGGTCTTCTCATGTTCAAACCAAGGGTCTTACCCATGGACACGACTCGCCTGGTCCAAATACTATTTGGAAGAATGCCTCTCTTCTTGTCCAATACATCGCCGTATTTCCCAAGACCATGACCTGATTCAGCTGCCGCTAAGACAACACGCTGAGATGTTGCAGATACGATGGAAGTGAACCCTGTGGTTTTGTTTTCGAGTTGCGCTTCAATTCTGGATCTCCCTATAACGGTCTTTGCTCGACGGTGGCTAAAGACGAAGGAGATATTAGCCCCGAGGACTTGAACTGTAAGCTTTGTGGTTTCAGGATCGATGACATGGTGGAAGTATATAAGGGGTGATGGGCTGCTAATAGCAGACACAAAGACTGGAAGAACCTCTTCAACTTCATCCGAGCTTGACGCTGCTGACTGCAGTGTGGTCATTTTAAATATTCGGAAAGGGGAGTTGTGCCTGTGAGTGAAAGGTGTATGAGTTTCTTAGAGTAGTATATAACTTTCATGAAGGAGTTGAGGACTTGAGGTTGAAGTTGTAACACACTTACAGATCACTCCACTCGAGAAGCAGATTTTAGTGAAGAGAGCGAAGGATAAAATGCATCGTGATTCAGGGATGCTTCAGCGAACGTGGATAAATTTGATGATTTGCTTTGCACAAGTTGTGCTCTTGAGAGAAACACGCACAACTCTTCAAAGCCGGGCCATACCTGACAATATAAGAGTATTCTTCGAGATCAAACAGAGGATGAGTGCTTAGTTGTATCTTGAAATTCGTAACTCGTAACACGTGGAAATGGAGTTGCAAAGAGAAAGCTCGGCGCTTTAAAAGAAGCCAAATCAGAGAACTCACGATAACCTCACTTTGCCAAGAATAAGAGAAGATGAATCCTTGAGATCAGAAACTGTCTCATGAGATGTTGAAGAGAAACAGAAATCATGAAGAGAAGAGGGGAAAGAGAAAAGCGCATGCAAAGATGTGCCTTGCTTGACCCTATCTCCAGGAGGTGGTGGTTAAAAAGAGATCAAGGAGAGATCATGAGGAGAAGAGAGGATAAAGAGGGGTAAAGGGAACTCTTTCACAACTCGAATTCAGGTTGCGACCATGAAACACACAAGCACATTAGAGATACACATTCACAAGAGCAGATCGACCATAAAATGAACGACAAGTTGGACGGGTCCAATTTGACCAAACCGAATGACCCAGTGTCGGGGGAATCTCATTCATACATGACAAAATCTATGACCCAACGCCCAATTCCATTGCCATTGCTACCTTTGACTTTGACCGGAAACCGCCAGTTTTTTAGTTTACTCGTCATCCTCCTCCTCCTCGGCCTCAGCGGTGGTCTGGGCAATTCGGTCCAAATCACGCTGTCCGGCCTGGGTGATGCGGCGGCCACCCTTGTCCTCGTCCTGCTCAAGGACACCGATCTTCTCAAGAGCCTGCATGACCTTTCGGTCGACGGAGCCGGAGGCATCGACGTGCTTGGAGGGGCGGCTGCCACGGTTCTTGGCAGTGCCGTGGACCTTGCGGAGACGGCCAACACCGACGGTCTTGCGGAGGTAGACGTGGCGGGCGATGGAGGCGGCACGGACGTAGAACCAGTCAATGTCCTGGGGAGGGAGCTCCTTAGCAGGACCAGTCTTGACGGTATCGACCCAACCTGAGAAGAAGTCAGTATTGAACAAATACAGAAAGAGTTCAGAATGCCTTACCGGGGATGGGAAGCTTGCCCTGACGCTTCAAGAAAGCAGAGTAGGCAGTGATGAACTTCTGCGCCTGCAGTCACAAAACCCATTAGCATGATTCCGTCGTCAGAAGTCTTTCGACTCCCTCGCGCCTGCTCCTCAATCCCATTTGTACCCAGCCCTTTGAACACAGCAGCCGACACAGCGTTTCAATTATTTTGTGGTATATAATCATCGCGCTGCGTCAGCGCCATGGCGGGCAAGCGGTTCTCTTGGAAGATTGCGTCGCCAAGTCGTCGAGTAGAGATCGTGTGATATTTTCGAAGAGTATTTCGTTTCCTGTGATGGGTTTTGTTTTTCAGGGAGTACCTACATCGACATCGCGAACGGTAACTCCGCCGGCCATTTTTGCGGTATTGTTGGGTTGGGTGGGTGAAAGGGGAGTTTGGTCGTTGGGTGTGGTTGTCGAAGCGTCGCGATAGTTGAGCTCGAAGATCTCAATTTGCTAGAATCGTGATCGAAATCTCAACTATTGTCGCTTAATTTGGTTCGGCCCTATTTTGCAAGCACACACAAATTTTTCTCAAATCTTCGGCATTGATTGGTGGGTCCCATAATTTCTATGTACTGTGTGATATACAGTGTCTAGATTCTTTGCACTGTATGGCAGTGGAGCCCTCTTGTTGAACATCACCACTGACTTGAACCACTGTCCAAATTAGGCACATGTTCATGTAAGTGATTGGGTCCTGATCATCTGTGGCATCTGTGCAACTATTCACTCTCACGTGGTTCCACGTCGGGACTTTTACTTCGTCTACGTCACTTGCTGTTCACAATCTTCAACGAGGCAAACACTAGTTGATTCACTAGGTATTCACGACTTCAAGCGAAGAAAAAGGCTCTATTTCCTGGCCATAACTAATAGTAACAGGGTCGAAGAAGCAGACCAGGTATCAATTCTATCCGTCTAACGCAATGCCAAATGACTTTATTATGACCCAACCTTGTTCGGGTATACACCTCGAGAATATCCATTTTAACCACTTTCTTCCACACGAATCTCCTTTAAGCCCACTTGGCAAGAATGGCCATGACAGTGACACCAAAGGCAACGCATGCAAATGCGAGCAACAGGATCCTGATCGGGGCCTTGCGCATGTAAGGGTTGAACATGAACTCGTGGGCGAGGAGCTCTACAAGACCAGTGTACATGAGGATACCTGCACTGATAGCGTCGAAGATACCGTTTGTAAGCTTCTGGTCGTTGGCGTTGTTGGGCTTGGCTCCTATGCCAGCCGCGATACCAATGGGAGTTGACAGAGCAAAGATGCAGCCGAGCAGGTAGGGCATCCACTGTCGGTTACTGGGCCAAGGAGCGACGGCCAGACGAGAACCGAGACCAAGACCCTCGAACATCTGATGGAAGACGAGAACAATCAAGAGAACGGTTAGCTCGTCGGAGGCGATCGTGCCGAGAGTAAGACCGATGAAGACACTGTGAAACACGACACCGAATTCGAGAATGAAGATCGCGAGCAGCTGGCCAGCAAGCCCGCCCTGAGCATCACCCTCCTTGTGCTCACGGCCGTGAGCGAGGTGGCTGTCGCCACCAGGGGCATAGCCAGACCCCCTACGTTCACCGTTCTCGATGTCAGGGTTGCTGGGCTGCTTCTTGGCGATAAAGTCCATAGCAGGATCGAGCTCGTGGTCAATCTCCATTGAGTGGTTGTGCTCCATGTCGGCGTTGCTGAGACGAGCGGCGAGCATTTCGACAAAGAACATGACAATGACAGTCATAAGCGCGATGGCTTCAGCCCAATCGTAACCGCCCAATCTATCTTCGAGACAGGGGTCGGTCAAGTTCTCGACAGCAGGAACAAGCAGGTGCATGAAAGCTGTCGCTATGATGACTCCAGTACCAATGAACTTGCAAATAAAAAAGGTCATCTTAGGAACGGGGATTGTCTTTTGGCGTGCCAGGAAAATGGGCAAGAGTGCGCCGATAGCCGAAGAGGCCATGATGATGAAGATGGAGCCAATTCGAAGACCTCGTCGGCCGAGATCGACGGCCTCACCGCTGCAGGTATCAGCGTCGGCCATTTTGACAATTTATGGATGCCGAGAAGGATAAAGGTAAGGATGCAGAGAGCAGGGTCTTATAGGAAGCGCGAGACGGAGAAAAGAGGCGCGGGCCTACAGGTAATAGGTGATGTGAGGTTGTAGTCGGAAAATATGTCGTCAAATGCCAAGGCGCAAAGATGCGAAGCCAAGGATTATACAGATGCGTTGTTCCCTAAAAAGGAAGCGACCAAGGGTAATCGCGCTGTATGATTCGAACGGAGTCGAAACGCCAAGACGCGCGCTAATTGTTGGACTGTTTGCTTGGCCTGAAGCTGATTGCAACTCTCGATATACCTGCGAGTTGCGATGTTTTATAATACAGCGAGCGTTGCGTGACGTGTAAAATAACGAGAGAAATCGAAATTCGCGACGAACCTTGATGGCGCAGACTCGACTTATAGAAAGTGGGCAAACCGGCCTAGCTGACCAGGTTTAGCTTGACAGAGGGTCCAGCGGACGGAAGCGAGTTGCCGAAGGCTGTAGACTAGATTTGTTCGAGCCGCAAGCGCGTGGGATGGTTGATAGTGAAGGGTGGGTTGTCTTGGACCAGGGGTCTCTTGGGCCAAGATATAGTTACTGCTAACGAGATAGGTGTGGTATCTCTTGAACATATGCTTATGATGCTTATGATGAGTGCTAAAGTTAAAGTAATAAGGTTAAGAAATAGAGGACCTTAGACAAGCGAAGCATTGTTGCATCAAGCGATAGAATTCGTACATGCGAAGTTTCTAGACTCTGGTCCTGAAGCAAAAAAAAGACTAGAAAACTCAGCACAACTGATAACGTTTTACATTATGCCCTCTTCGGCCCCAGGGCCGCTGGACGAACTCTAACACAACCCGTGTTTTAATCACTCGCTACTCTCCTCAATAATTCACTCCAATGGCCGATTCTCTGTGACACTCGGAGAGTTAGTTATTCACGTCCCAGGAACATGGAACTCGGCAACTGCCACATTCCTTGGCATCACCGTCATGATCCACTGTGACCAAAAGGTGTGACCTGAGATGTGATAGCACATTCTGTCTCTGGTTGAATCTTGAGCCGTGGAAAAAGACGAACGTGGTGGTTTGAGGTGGGAGTGGGTCGAATTAAGGTGAGGACCTTGATGGCCATGTTAGCCTCGTAAAACTCGGCTAGTACCGTTTCGGGCTGTAGAAGCTTCTAAGCTGTGGCTAGTGATTCTCCAGGTACATTCATACGGTGACACAAGTGTGTTTGCTAGAGTAAAAGCATCGTATGATAGTCAAGCATTGCTACAGCCTCCATATGACCGCCCCTGATCATGAGTCACTTTGGGTTACAATAAACGTCACACGGATGGAATCAATGCTTAAAAGAGCCTCAATCTCAAGATGTGGCGTCATTACTCGTTATCAATCAGCAGACATCTTATTGGCTCGCTAACTCCAGCAGCCACACTTGACATTCCGGAGAGATCGCGGAGACCATCAAGGTTCTCAGTCAGCGCGGGCATGATCCATGTCTAAGCCAAAAGCGCCCACGCAATTAAAACCGCCAAAAGGTCTTGCAATCGGCTCTGACGGCATCTCCAAATCGTTCAGCTGGACGATGAGTGTGTCTTGAGTTAGTTGCACTTATGCATAATCGGTTCCTTATACAAGGATTGTCACATGAGAGTCATCAAGAGCTGATGCTAGATGCTGTCAGAGAAGAGTTGACAAATAAACAGTAGTAATGGGAGAAGTGCTATGCCACCAATCGCCAATTCCAAATCTATGCCCCTTGAAAAGCAATGCCTCCAACCGGTAACGCCAGTGAGATGCTCATGATAATACATCCAACCTAACCGATACAAAACACCGACATCTGCAGTGTTATAGCCACCATCCGGGTCGCTATTCCCGTTGATATGCACCATCGTTAATCAAGCTGCATCACACATATGAGCTACCACATAGACCATGCTGACATGATCCTACGGGCCGACTGCAGTAGTGGGCTATTGCCGTCCTGCAGTAGTCAACATAGATGACAGGGCCTGTGTTTAATATCCGATCATGATGAAAACTGGATTTCCAACCCGAGCGTTCGGAATGGCTTGTCAAGTTTATTCAAGTCGATCGAACTTCCGAGACTGAATAGGAGAGATTTGACCCGCCCTTCCCACAGCACCCCTATTCGCATGTTTTGATCAAGTCGAGTCTTGAGTACGCCTGCATATCTCTCCTCACCTGGCTTTTCAGGATCTATCTCCTCTTTTGGGAGTGAAGGGGGAGGCGGTGGTGGCTTGACGATAACTGGTTCGGGATCATCCAGACGCCATTCCAACTTGGCTTGAAAGCTGCGCTCCTTTGGCCGCTTCACCTCTGGTTTATCGTCAAGAACCAGTTTATCATCAATGACTGGCTCATCCTCGAGAACCAGTCGGGTAAATGGTTTCCGCCAGAGCTCCATACCAATAGCCCAAGCGCTTTCGTAGCTGAACACGTTGAACTCCATCCGCGTAGCAAGGCTACAATGCCGGCCTGCCACCACGGCATAGCTTGCACTGATATTACCCATCAAGGGATTCAGTGTCAACGTCGCAGATAGAGGCGTTCCCTTGTGCGCGGGTAACGTTGCAAATCGGGTTCCCACGCTGATTCCACCCGACTTGTTCAGGGTGCCGTAATAGATTTCTCCACCGGTGCTGAATCGACCATAGATCCTTTCCCTGTCGGCGTTTCCATTGTCGTTGACAGCCTGGTCCTCCGGCTTCTCGGCATCGCCGCCGAAATTATACACGCCCCGGAACCCGAGTAGTCCTCCATCTGAGGACGCCAGTCCTTCGAGCGCATATTTCCCTACGTCATATTGCGCCAGGCCTAGTACAGTGCCGCCGTTCTTAAGGTGCTGGGCAGATACAGAACTGAGCTGGACCTGGAGCGCAGGAGACAGTCGTTTGACGAATAGAGCTTCCAGTAGCGACTGGGGTAGGTAGAGTCGACCATACAGGAGCGACGATTCCGGTTTATCTTTCGGTGCCTGGAGGAGAGGATTGGTTCGGTGGGGGAGTTCGGTAAGAGGTCTGTACGAGCGCAGAAGCTCCGGTAGATTGACCGCCTCCGATTGCGGTGTCAAGAGAAGTCGAAGCGGGACTGATGAGAAGAGGTACGAGATGGATCCATCAACGATGCCGACTGAGCCAAGTTGGTAGGATGTCGCAAAGTTGGGGCTCGCGAGGGCAGATAGGGTGAGTCGTAGCCCACGAGGGGTCTCGAAATTCAGAAGAGCTGCAACCCTCTTGTCAATACACGGACCCGAGCATTACTGGAAAGG